CCCTTAGGCAGCCACTCCAAGTCCTCACAGAGCCAGTGTGCAGCCTGCTTTGCTGAGTTATACTGGGGTATACAGAACAAAAACATTATCTACCGCCCCAAACCCCCCCCAGTTTTCTGTTTGTTTTGATGCAATTGAATTTTCTTAAAGGTTTTTTCCCCTAGAAATCATACCTTTAATCTGCAGAATTTTAGAGGTATTGAGTAGCTTTTTCTGTAAATCTGTAGAATTTTAGAGGTATTGAGTAGCTTTTTCTGTAATTGAAGGAAAGAAGCTCAGTATATTATTCCATGCTGCTTCTAAAACAAAGCTATGGCAATCAGAATCCAGTGTTTTAAAAAGAGCCTGTGACAGCTGATCTGAATGTGATTGTAATACTGAATTCTGTGGATGAATGAGAACTGGAGGAGCTGCCTTTTCCTTCCAGTGAATGAGCTAGTAAAACAAGTGCTTGACTTCAAGGGGAAAAGAGGGGGAGTATCAGGCATCCCCACCTGCTTTCTGTCTCTTAACTCTTATGTATTCATTAAGATGAGTGTTTGTATAAGCACAAATATTTTGTGCATGGGAACGGGTTGTCTGGACATTTAAACAATTTTCTTTTGAGGTAATTGGGATAGTGGAGAGGGAAAATATGAGGATATTAAATTTAAAAAAAATCTCTGCCCATCATACCCTAAGCTGCAACAACCCATACAATTTATTCATTCATTCAGGTTGCACTGATTAAGTCCTTCTTATATCCCAGGGATTGTGCTATATTATTAGAGTGAAAAGATAAATCAATGAAGACTCCCTATTTGCAATAATACTACAATTTAGCAATTAATAGTTGATTTCTATGTACCAGCCACTGTGCCAAGTGCCCTCTATGCATTATCTCACTTAATCTTGCAATAATCCCAAAAGTAGGTTAAGATTATTCCCATTTGCAACTGAAAACTTTGACAGACAGCAGGGTCAAATAACTTGCCCACAACTATACAACCAGAAAGTGGCAAAGACAGATCCTGTCCAAGTCCCTACTCCAAATGCTTTGCTTAAATTGCACCACCAATTGTCCTGTGGTTCTTTCTTTGAAGAAAGGGATTTTTTTAAATCCCAGTTTCTATGGTTATTTGGAGTACAGATTTTTTTTCTTTTTCTAGAGTTACGGAAACTCAGCATGGAGTACAGAATTTTTTATAATCAGTTGGGCATTATTTGTGTGGATAATCCAACATAAACTGAAATTTTTTGTTACACAGAAATTATATTCAATGAGTACAATACAGACACCAATTTCTGATGTCCTCAATGAGGAAAAGTTACTGGTTCTAGTGATTATATTGAAATGTTTTGGCTGTGTCCCTACCCAAATCTCATCTTGAATTGTAGCTCCCATAATTCCCATGGGTTGCAGGAGGGACCTGGTGAGAGAAAATTGAATCATGGGGGCAGTTACCCCCATGCCTTCCTCATGGTAGTGGATAAGTCTCATGAGACCTGATGGTTTTATAAGGGGAGATCCCTTTTTCCTTGGCTTTTGTTCTCTCTCTTGTCTGCTACCATGTAAGACATGCCTTTTGCCTTCCACCATGATTTTGAGTCTGTTAAACTTCTTTTTCCTTATAAAATACTCAGTCTTGGGTATGTCTTTATAACCAGCAAGAAAATGGACTAATGCAGTAAATTGGTACCAGTAGAGTGGGACACTACTGTAAGGTATGTGAAAATGTGGAAGTGACTTTGGAACTGGGTAGCAGGAAAAGGTTGGAACAGTTTGGAGGGCTCAAAAGAAGACAGGAAAATGTGGGAAAGTTTGGAACTTCCTAGAGACTTGTTAAATGGCTTTGACCAAAATGCTGATAATGATATGGACAATAAAATTCAGGTTGAGGTAGTCTCAGATAGAGATGAGGAATTTGTTGGGAGCTGTAGTAAAGGTGGCTCTTACTATGTTTTAGCAAAGAGACTAATAGCATTTTGTCCCTGCCTTAGAGAGTTGTGGAACTTTGAAGGAAATGGTTTACTATATCTTGTGGAAGAAATTTCTAAGCAGTAAAGCATTCAAGAGCTGACTTGGGTGCTGTTAAAAACATTTAGTTTTAAAAGGAAAACAGAACATAAAAGTTTGGAAAATTTGCAGCCTGATGCAATAGAAAAGAAAAATGCATTTCCTGAAGAGAAATGCAAGCTAGCTGCAGAAATTTGCATAGGTAATGGGGAGCCAAATTGCCAAGATGATGGGGAAAATGTCTCTAGGGCATGTCAGAGGCCTTTGTAGCAGCCCCCTCCCATCACAGGCCTGGAGGCTTAGGAGGAAAAAAATGATTTTGTGGGCTGGGTCCAGGGTCCCCCTGCTGTGTGCAGCTTAGGGACTTGGTGCCCTACATCCCAGCTGCTCTAGCCATGGGTAAAAGGGGCCAAGGTACAGCTCAGGCTGTGGCTTCAGAGGGTGCAAGCCTCAAGCCTTGGCAGCTTCCATGTGGTGATGAGCCTACGTGTGCACAGAAGTCAAGAATTGAGGCTTGGGAATCTCCACCTAGATTTCAGAGGATGTATGGAAATGCCTGGATGTCCAGGCAGAAGTGGGGCCTGGACTGCAGGGGTGGGACCCTCAGAGAGAACCTCTGCTAGGGCAGTGCAGAAGGGAAATGTTGAGTTGAAGCCCCCACATGGAGTCCCTACTGGGGCACTGGCTAGTGCAGCTGTGAGAGGTGGGCCACTGTCCTCCAGCCCCAGAATGGTAGATCTACTGACAGCTTGCACCATGTTCCTGGAAAAGCTGCAGACACTCAATGTCAGCCCATGAAAGCAACCAGGAGGGAGGGTGTACCCTGCAAAGCTACAGAGGTGGAGATGCTCAAGATCATGGGAACCCACCTCTTGCATCAGCCAAATCTTAAACCTCCTTTAACCCCATATTTCAGATCCAGATCTGAGACATGGGGTCAAAGGAGCTTTAAGATTTGGCTGCCCTGCTGGATTTTGGACTTGCATGGAACCTTTAGCCCCTTCATTTTGGCCCATTTCCCCCATTTGAAATGGGTATATTAATCTAATGCCTGTACCCCCATTGTATTTAGAAAGTAACTAACTTGCCTTTTGTTTTACAGGCTCATAGGTGGAAAGGACTGCGTTGTCTCAGATAAGACTTTGTACTGTAGACTTTGGAGTTAATGCTGAAGTGAGTTAAGACTTTGGGGAACTGTTGGGAAGGCATTATTGTTTTGGAATGTGAGGGTATGAGATTTGGGAGGGGCCAGGAGTGGAATGATATGGTTTAACTGTGTCCTCACCCAAATCTCATCTTGAATTGTAGCTCCCATAATTGCCACATGTTGTGGGAGGGACCCAGTGGGAGATAATTGAATCATGGAGGCAGTTCCCCAATGTGCTTTTCTCTTGCTAGTGAATAAGTCTCATAAGATCTAATGGTTTTATAAGGGGAAACCACTTTCATTTGGCTTAATTCTCCTCTTTCCTGCCACCATGTAAGATGTGCCTTTTGCCTTCTGCCATAATTGTGAGGCCTCTCCAGCCATGTGGAACTGTGAATCTATTAAACCTCCTTTTCTTTATAAATTACTCAGTCTTGGGTATGTCTTTATCAGCAATAAGAACATGGACTAATACACATGTAAACTTTGAAAGATGGCCAAGCACGGTGGCTTATGCCTGTAATCTCAACTCTTTGGGAGGACAAGATGGGAGGATCACTTAAGCCCAGGATTTCAAGACCAGCCTGGGCAAAAAAGCAAGACCTTGTTCCTACAAAAAATTTAAAAATTAGCCAGGCAAGTTTGTGGCAGACCAGGTCTTTCTAACAGCTAAACAGGTACGCCTTCACAACAAGCGTTTCAGCACTGAGTGGTTAAGTTAAATATTAAAAGCTGATAGAACCAGTGCCCTATACCAAGGCTGGAATGTAACAAAAGCCCACAAACAGTTGCCTAGCCCTTTCCTAGGCCTTGAAGCATGACAAGATAACAAAGGAATTCTTAACAGGACCCATTTGGGATTAAACAAGTTTATTGTGGGTCTTAAGAAACTCCTCAGACCTTCACAAACAAGCTTTCTTGGGGACTAAAGGAACTCCCCAAAACTCTGTGATTTAGCAGCAGATAAGAAAAGGGTAATCACCCTAGGACCTGGACCCATTTAGATTAAGTAAATTAATTGAGGCTCCAGAGGAAGGCCTTCAAGACTCAGATTTCAGTTTTAGATTAGAAGAAGCCAATCACTTATGTCTTTAGATGAATACACACATACACATAGACATATAGCTTGTAAGGTATATAAGCTCTGGAAACTTTGTAATTTTGAATTGGTCTTGTGATATTTTCCAGGCCTTCTCCTCAGTTACAGCAATGAACTCCCTTCTTTCCCAGTTTATCTGCATGTCATCACTGGGCTGCAAGAATAAGAACCCAACCTTCGGTTTGGTCCAGGAACAAGTTGAGGTGTGCCAGCCTATAGTGACAGCTACTCAGGAGGATCCCTTGAGCCCAGGAGTTTGAGGCTGCAGTGAGGTACGATTGAACACTACACACCAGCCTGGACAACATAGCAAGGCCCCATTTCTAAATAAATAAACAAACAAATAAACAATTTTAAAAGGCAAAAGTGTGTAATGTTGATTCTCAACCCCTAAAACTGATTTGATTTTCTGAACTTCAAATTCCGGTTTTTTCAACGACTATCTAACTTGTTACAATAAGCTGTTTTAAAAAACAAGATACAACACCATGCTTATTTTGCCTAATTCTTTTTCCAGTTCTTTTCCCCAATGAATGTATATGATTTTTACTTATGCCAATTGCTACCAGGGACAAAGCCTGCTCTTTCAAATAGAAAATCTAATTGCAAAGCTGTTGCCTCTCTGTTTGGGTTAACAGCGTCTTTTCCAAAGGCCTATTCACTCCTCCCCAGCCTCCTCCCTCTCTACCAGGCCTTACCCATGGCTTGAATTTTCTTCTCACTGACAGCCCTCACATTCAAGTTCAGCTTTCTCTCACCTTAGCCAGTGGGTGCTACCAGGCTGCACTATCAGCCTGCAGGATCCTCTCCAAGCAAGTGACCAGCCAGATCCTCTTAATTCTCAGTTGACAGGGTGAATAAACACCCTGAAAACCTTCTCCAGGCTTTCTGTATATTCTTTCAATGCTTGTTTTAGCTGGGAAGGGACATTCTCATATATGTGTGATAAGTAAAGCCGGTGGCTTGGGATGTTTTTATGTTTGCCCTTGCACAGGCAAAGTTCAACAGCTTTGTAACTGTTTGTTTTAAGTTTAAAATGTCTGTGAGTTTGGCCCTCTGACAAGCAGAGGGTCAAGGATAGATGCTGCTGCTTGGAAATACATTAAAAATAAATTAGGCCAAAGGGCAGCTCCCACTGACTCCATCTTTAGCCCTCCCTGCCAGGTGTGTGTGGGCATAAATTAGCACAGGAACCAGCCTGAACAGGGTGAGAAGTCTTCAGAGACTGCCCTGAGCATAGCCCAGAATCAGGACCTAAGAAAGATTTCAAAATGGCCAAGTGGCTTTAGATAGGGTCATTTGCAAGAAGGTGGGGCCAAAGCCATACCCCTTGAATGTCGCAATGGAGGTAAGGAAGAGTATGTCTGAAATACGTGAGATTTCTTAAGACAACTCTTAGTATTCCCATGCCTTGTGATGAAAGTCAATGGAAAATTACAGCAATCAATCCAGGCAGGACTACTAATGGCCCAGATGCTTTAGGAATGGAGGTTCCGGTCACCTCACCAGCTAATGATCCATGACCAGCTCAGGTGCTTGCTGAGGGCAAAGGGAATATGGAATGAGTAGTGAAAGAAGATAGTTATCAATACCAGCTACGAGTGCATGACCAGTTACAAAAACAATAGGTGGAACTTTCATGAGTGTTTCTTCCTTATTTTGTTGTGAGTTGTTGGTGTGTGTATAGCATCTTTGTTTTCTTCCCTTTCTTATTCCTCTAGCATGTAACATAAGATGTATTACTTTATCTCACAGAATTTAATATTGCTAACTTTATATTATAGTGTTTAAGTTACAGGATGTCAAGAATAGTAAATATCACCTGTGAACCCCCAAAATGAGACAAGTTTCAGTCAATTTAGAAAGTTTATTTTGCCAAAGTTAAGGATGCACACCTGTGACAGCCTCAGGAAATCCTGACATGTGCCTAAGGTGGCTGGTACACAGCTTGGTTTTATACATTTTAGGGAGACATGAGACATCAGTCAATATATGTAAGATGAATATTGGGTCGGTCTGGAAAGGCGGGATAACTTGAAGCAGGGAGGGGGCTTCCAGGTCACAGGTAGATAAGAGACAAATGGTTGCATTCTTTTTAGTTTCTGATTAGCCTTTTCAAAGGAGGCAATAAGATATGCATTTATCTTAGTGAGCAGAGGGACAACCTTGGACAGAATGGGAGGCAGGTTTGCCTTAAGCAGTTCCCAGCTTGACTTTTCCCTTTATCTTAGTGATTTTGGGGCCCCAAGATGTATTTTGCGTTCATACAGCTAAGGACTTTGTATCCTCTTCTGGGAAAAGGATTCGTGCAGTAGAATGCAGTTATATGAAGGATAGTTGTGTCATGTTACACAGAAATACGATCTTGTTATTGTCTTTAGTTGGAAGTTAAGTATGATTTAAGGAGATATGTGTGGGTCCCTAATGGACAAGGAGCGAACTGGTGATGGTTAATTTTATGTGTCAACTTGGCAGGACTGAAATTGTAATTTTTTTTCTGTAAAGGTTTTAGCATGCAGAGGAGGGGGCTCAGTCCTTGGCAGCTGCTTTCCTCATGGCAGCCAAGTACTCAGATATTTGGTCAAACAGATAGCGGTGAGGTTGACCAAATGTCACTCTCATCACCATCTTGGTTTTGGTGGGATTTAGTCAGCTTCTTTATGGCAACCTGTTTTATCAGCAAGGTCTTTATGACCTGTATCTTGTGACCTCCTATCTCATCCTGTGGCTTAGAATGCCTAACTCTCTGGGAATGCAGCCCAGTAGGTCTCAGCCTTACTTTACCCAACTGCTACTCAAGATGGTGTTGCTCTGATTCAAACACCTCTGATGATGCCTCGAGCCAATGTCACATGAGCCAATTCCTTAAAATCTCTCTCTCTCTACACACACACACACACACACACACACACACACCCCACTGTGTATAGATTGGTTCTGTTTCTCTGGGGAACCCTGACTGATATATATAGCATGGTCTGCTTTCTGGACTGGACTCTGATACAACATTGAAATAGATTCCTCTACTGTGGAATTGGTCTCTCCAGGGCCTGGAGCATAGGTCAAGGTAGGGGGCTGTCTCAGGCCAAACTGGACATGTGAGACTTGCTTTCCACCCCCTCCACACCCTGAGGTCTCTGCAGTCCCTGCTGTCCAGGTGCTCACAGCCCAAGGAAGAGAACAGGCACATCCAAAGCTTCCTCCCTTCCAGGACAGCTTGGGCACAGTGAGGTAAGTTAGGAATAGCCATAGAGCTTTGGAAGCGGGAGGGAACTATTCCTTCAGCTTGGGGAGGGTGATATAAGTTAGGCATAGCCGTGGAGCTCTCTATGGGGAGGAAGTTACTCCTTCAGGTTGGGGAAGAAAGGAGGGTAAGCAGCAGGAGATGAGGATGGCCAGGGAAGTCTGGTCCACGTTCACTAGCCTTTGTTCAGAGGGCACTGGAGGTGCATTGACTTTACAGAAAAGCATCTCAAAGACCAAAAAGCCTTCGAGACCTAAAGAAGTAAGTCTCAAATGATGGTGTGCCTGGTTCCTGAAAGAGATATTTGAACAATGGGGCCTTCTCAAGCATTCCCCAGACCATAGCATATTATTAGTTAGCAAAAAGAGAAAAAGGAAATCTCAAATAAAAAGGAGCATGACTACTTTCGGTGTCATCCTTCCTTTCTCACCATTGTCTACCAGCTCTGTCATTAGCCATTTTCCTCAGAGATGTTTGCTTCAGCCTCTCCCATTCTTTCCCCTCTCTTCTCCCCTTTCAGTCACCCAGACGCCCTCCCATTCACCCCTTACATGCAGCCGCCTGGTCCATCCCTCTGCATCCAGCACTGCGAGGGCTCAGGGGAGGAGCTAGCAAGTACCGGGTCACCAGGGGGTTGCTGTCCAGACTACCCTCTCCAGCAGCTCCAGGTGGTGGCCTTGGAACCTGCCCAGAGGCAAACCACTTGGAGAAGGCCCTGTCTCAGGAGGGTGATGCAGAATGTGAACAGGGTGTCAGCTGTGGCCTGAGCCGAACTGGAAGGAGGAGCCTGTAGAAAAAGAAGCGGAATAGAAGAGGCTGGGGAATGGCTGTGCTGGGGATGGGGAGCTTGTCTCCTCCAGGTAATGTGTCTTCAGGGGCATCCCTCTGATTCACAGCAAATTCACTGAGTGATGAGTGTGCTCTTAAGGCAACGTAACCATGTGGCAAGGTGTCTTTTTTAGGAGGCCCTGGCCAGCCAAGATATCTCTAGGTTGTTCTGGTTTAGCATTGCCTTCCAGCTGGAGACTTCTTGAGGCAGGCTAAAGGTTGCTGGAACCTCTCTTGCTTCCTCACCCCTCCTACTTCCCCAGGTTCTGCAGCCAGCCTCCAGTGCAGCAGGAATTCAGCTTACCTGTCTCAACACCCTGCTTCCTCTCTTCACTCACTAGGTCAGGTCTGGGGAGATGGAGGATTTCAATTAGAGAAGAGTCAAGGAGAGCATGGGGCATGAGGAACACACAATAGGATACCGGGAGAGCTGGAAACAAAGGCCACAGATTGAGCAGCCTAGTCTCCCAGTGTTGACTGAGCTAGAAGGCAAGGCCCAACTGGCAGTGGGAAAAGAAGTGACCTATGAGGGGGCCCTCATGTTTGCTGACTTTCAGGGTATGCCAGGTTATCCTGAGAGGTTTTCCCTTAAACGGCTGCTTATCATCCTCATGATGTGAGGCTGTGGCTGCCACAACAGAGAAGAGTGGAAGCCATGCTTGCAGGAAGAGTGTGTTCTGCAAGCCAAGGCTGGCTCAGGAGATAAGCCTCCATCCCCACACAGAAATAACAGAGCTCCATCCAGGGTTGAGGGGACTGCAACTGGAAGGCAGAGTTCAGAGTCTTATCCCAAAGGTTGCCAAAGAGAGACATCCCATCAAGACACCATAATGGCGAGGACAAAAGGCAGAATAATAATAATGGAATTCAGTAAGTTGGCTGAATACAAAACAAATGTAAGGAAAAAAATTAGATGCTTTCCCATTCAAAATATATAACAGAAGAAATCGTAAAAGTCACAATAGCAACAAAACCTAAAGACAAGAAAATGTAGAGTCACGATAAAGGATATATGTCATTACTGAGTGACATGAAAGATGTACTGAAAAATCAAGAGATGTACCATGTTTCCAGGTAGGAAGCAACATTATACAAGATGGATTTCCCCCCACATTTATCTAGAATTCAATCCGGCTTTGGCAGCTTCCTCTGCAGGATGCATCTGCGCTTCCTGTCACTACCAAGCCACCTGGCAGCCTGTACCATTTACTAATGAGCTTTGAATACTCCTGCCTACTCACGGCATTTGTCCAGAGCCACACATCTTGACCTGTCTCCATGTCCATTCTAATCTGTCCTGAACTTCCCAGCTCGTGCCTTATTTTACTGTCTTTGGACTAATCTAACCTACTCGTGTGTGTGTGTGTGTGTGTGTGTGTGTGTGTGTGTGTGTTTTGTTTTGTTTTGTTGTGATGGAGTCTCACTCTGTCACCCAGGCTGGAGTGCAGTAGCATGTTCTCGGCTCACTATAACCTCCTCCTCCTGGGTTCAAGCCATTCTCATGCCTCAGCCTCCTGAGTAGCTGGGATTACAGGCACATACCACCACACCTGGCTAATTTTTGTATTTTTAGTGGAGACGGGGTTTCACTGTGTTGGCCAGGCTAATCTCAAACTCATGACCTCAGGTGATCCACCCGCCTCAGCCTCCCAATGTGTTGGGATTACAGGTGTGAGCCACCACAACCAGCCTAATCTAACTTACTCTTTAAACCTAATGTTTTCACCCTTCCTCAAATTTTTGCATTCATTCTACTCAATTCCTTTCAGGTGTTCCCAGGGCTTGCACGTGTTCTGAGCATTACTGGGGAAGAGGGGCTTCTTATCATGGGAGAGATCTCTGAAGCAGAGGGAATCAGGTGGCCTGCTCAGAAAGGGAGCA